GGAAAGTCGTCGATGTTCGCCTTCGATTAGATTAGCCGGAAAAATGATTGAAAAAAAGGCAAAACAACGTTACTTTGTTTAATGCACACAAGAAAACATCAAAAATGTGGCCAAATAGTGCGAATCTTTGCTATCATCGTATCAAATTTATTTGGAGCCTAAGCTCCTTCGCGAAAACCCGTTTAAAACTTTAAGAATAGGAATTGAAATCTATTTCAAGTTTGCCGAGTACTTTACGAAAATTTTCGAACTCGCCAGCTAAGCCAACAAATGAGTTTGCTTTGGACTCTTTGCAATCCAGTTGACTGCTTTCAATTTCCCTTTCTCTGAGCTCTTCGTTCATTTTTACTTTGCCATGCCAAACATCTTAGTCCTCTTTTTCGAAGGGCAGTGTTCACTTTTGGTTTTGTGCATTTTTAATTATTGGCTTTTTTCTTAGACGCTTTAATTGTATTTGCTTAGCATTTTGGCTAAAGTGAACACACACACACACACACACACACATATATATGTACATACATATATAAAAAGGGGAAAACCACGCCCCTGCCGTTCCGAATTTAAATTGCATGGAATTTGCAAACTGAAATTAAAATAGTTAATGATTTTTTGGTCAGGCGACTTAAGTGGCGACTCAATTGGCCCAGGGGAGGGGGGTTGGGTTTTTCCAAGGGGCCAGACCTGAGTAATTGAAAAAGCATCGTCTGTGGAAAAGTGGGCGGCAATTGCGGGGCAATCGTGGAGTGGGGGCGGCTAAAACTGGAGGCAAAAGACAAATAGAGAGCGCAACTGTAGTGCAAACTTTTGCGGCGACAACTCTGGCACACAGGGCAACCCTGCCGGCCCCCTCAACACTAGTTCGCCCCCTTCCCCCTTAAATTTCGCTTGCATGTAAATGTTGTAAAAGTTTTTACGATTTGCCAAACTATAAACGAGGGTAGGGCCTTCAAGCGGGGGTACCGGGGAAAAAAAAACGCAACGTAGTTGGCTGGTCCACTTTGATACTTGCAATATAATAAACTAAGTAATTACACATGTGTGTGCGTGTGGGCGTGGCTGAAAGAACTATTTGAATTCGCCCATAAAACGAGGCGGGTGCAAAAAGTGCGCCCAAATTACCTTGACATATGAAAACCACCCACAGCGACCCACCGCCCACCGCCCACCATCAAGTTCCCCAGTTGCCTTTCACTTTTTATGACAATTTCACTTTCACCCGAGTGGCGAGAGCAGCAAGAGCGGGGAGGGGAAGGTCCATGCGTGTGTGACCATTTCATATAGGCATTTGTCATTAGGACTGCTCCAACCACAGCCCAACATGACCCACCCAAGCCACCCAACCCCACCATTTTATGCGCCCTTTACAGCCCAGCGCTGAATGACACTAAAACGTCGAAGAGCAACATCCATAAACTTCTATAATCGTAAATATAGATTTGTGCAGACACGTATGTGTCGTACTGGGTAGCTAAAGTGCGATGTCACGCGACCTTTGCTACCGTGTAGATACTAAATTTGGTTAACCTCAACTGGAAAACAGAAACTGAAATAAATGTGCCTGCTTAGGGAAGCTTGGCTAATCGAATGAAAACAATGGCACTTGAAGAGGGACGGAGATAAATTTAGGAATATGCGAATGTACGAGTATGAATATCCTGGCGTATAATTCCTATTTTCCACGATGATGAGAATTAAAGATGGATCCAGAACGCGGCATATTTTGCTCTAATGACACTTTGAACAGCTGTTGGATTTCACTTGCTCTTTGGCCCGCGATAAAAAGAGAAACGAGGACTCCTCGCACATATTTGAAGACATAAATAAATGTCAAAAAATGCAGATTACTTATTAACCCCTGTGGCGCGCCACAAAAAACACAAAAAAAAAAACAAAAATGAAAAAACGAAGTGCGCGTTTCGCCTTTGCCATAGCCGCGATATTATTCATTAATACAGGACCCGGGGTAAGGAAAAACCCCACCGAACCACCCACCGAACCACCCACCGAACCACCCCCACCCCCAGCCGCACCACCTACCATCCACCACCCCCTGGCGGCCCCCACGCGGCGCTTTTGCCACCTTTTCAGAAACGATGGATGGAGAAAATTATTAGCTCTTTGGTAATATTTTCTTGCATAAATTTTTGAATAATTTTTTCCACTCCTCCCCACTTCTGGTATCTGTGTCTTCCTCTTTGGGCTCGCGCTTTATTTTCAATTTAACCCTCATTGTTCTCGCGCAGGTTTTTCCATCTCACCTTCTCGCGTGTGGCATAAAAATTGAATCCTAATCCATGAATATAGATGATTATTATATGCCCCACACTTACCCCATGAAGACAAAAAAAAAACAGAAGGAAAAGAAACCAGCGGGATGGCACCCATTAGAATACGTCGTTTCTTCTGGCGTTTCGGTAATTTTCTCTTTGTTTTGCATTTTGCATCCAGTCCATCCATCCAAATCCCGAATCCCGAATCCCGAATCCTGTATCCCCGAAAAACCCATCTCAATTTCTCCTTCTCCTTTTTCTCTTTGGCAGACCAGCAGCGAAATGAAAACGCCGACAAAGTTGTCGTAAAATTTTGTTATGACTTTTTTCTTATTGCCATTCGAAATGTTGCTCTAGGGGAGCTGATCCTGAATTCCTAAGTTACTTCCTGCTGGTATTTAAAGTTGTAAAAATTGATGGCTGCCGCTGCCTAGGATAATTCGCTGTTTCACAGGACTTGTCTGTGAGGAATATGTGTCCTCCCTCTGTCTATAACAAAGTTTTAACCGCAAGGTATCTGTAAAAATATTAGTTTTCTTTTTTCCTAATAGGTACATGAAATATCGATGACTGTTGTATAGCTAAAAACTAAAATTCCCAACAAATACATTAAAACTAACAAAATACGCAAGGCCCTTTTCTAGTTTGCGCAAATGTATTCCGCAGCTAAACATAAATAAATGCATAAATAAATTATCAGAAAATTAACAATTTTTGCAATTAAAACTACAAAACTAAATTACAAATGCATTGCATTTGAACAAAGGGGGAATGCAGAGGTGCGCTTAACGAGCAAATAATAATGACCGCGGCATTTGTAATAACAATAATGAAAAGCCATTTGGCCATTTGGCCATTTGGTCATTTGGCCATTCTCCACCGGGCCAAAAACTGTGAACTCTCGGCCTGGCCAACCAAACAATAACAAGAACAACAACAACACACTGCCATAACAATTAATTAACAAATAAAATGTCAATTAATTTTACAAACATTGCAGCGATGCAGCGAAAATACACGGTTAAAAAAAACACACACACACACACACTTACATGCATACGGGCATAAATATATACATATAACAATAAAATTTACAGCGAATGCGATTCGCACACACATGCACACATTACGCATACGCGCCAAAAATAAACAAACCGCCCACAATTTCCCTCAATTTCCAACCCCCTTTTTCCACCTCCTGCGAAAATCCGCGTTCGCCAACCAACGCAAATTTTCTCATTTATTTATGATTTCAATTTCAATATTAAAGGTGTGCGGTACTTGTGGGCGTGGAAATTTAAATAAGTTGGCTGGCGGTGAAAGCATTTTTTGGCATTTTAAATATTTAATTGAATGATAAATAAATTTAAGCCTTTTCCCATACACGAAAGCCCACAATTGATGCACACAATCAGCGTTACTCACGGCTATAATATTGTAAATTACGAGGAATGGAATCTGGAGAAAGAAATAAGGACACATGAAAAATCAGAATAAAAACAAAAAGGATATTAATGTACACTCGCCTGTGCTTGTGTGTTTATATGAACCGATTGCGGCCAAGGCATGTAAATATTATCACTGGCCACTAAGGATTGACAGAACTTTGGAAGGGAACTATTAAGAACACAAATAAGTTGAAATATATACCATAGCTTTCGAAATATGTATGTTTTTGAAAGTGCCAAAGATTGAATTGATTTTACAAATTCCACATGTGAGAATAACATGTTTACCTCATTTTTCTTAACTTTATTATACACTTAGATGATATATAGTAATACTTAATTTCCGTATATTTTTTACACGGTATTTCGCTGGCTGGACCGTTTTTCACCACCGCACACATACTCACATAACATATTCGAACGTTGGCCGCCATTTTGTTTGGCCGCAGACGCAAAATGCAATTTAATTATTACATTTGGACTTTTGGCCCCCTCCGATTCTTTTGCGCCACCACTTTCGGACCCAATTCCTGCTGCCGACTGTCCACATATTTATTTACTTATTTATTTAAACATTTATTTATCGTATTTACTTGCGTTTCATTTGCCATTCATTCCCCACAGGCTTTGGCGACGGGTGGCATTTTCCTTGGGTTTGGGCATTTTCCGCTTCCGTTTGCAATCATTGAAACGGAACTTTCCATTCGGACGAAATTTACATTTCAACTTCATCTGCATCTTCATTTGTGTTTGTGTGTTTGTATGTGTGTTGCATATTTTCTTTTATTACTTTTATTATATCTCGCCGCCCTGGCCGCGCCCATTTTCACCGCACAACTAATAAAACTTTATCTTTTTTAATATCGACTGGCTGCTACTTTGCTGGGGTGGTGTAATATTTTACAGTCTCGAAAAGTCTGCGAAATTTTACTTTTACTCATTGTACAAGCAACTAGCTGAAGTTCGGAAAATATGCAAAATAGATGAGCAGGCGGGGTCGAAAAATGGGAGGATGAATTGTGGAAAGTCATGGAAATTCCTCATCAGCCAGCTGCATATTGACTGGGGAATACAACATTTTCAGTGGATAAATTGCGACGCAGAGGCGAACAAATTGATGCAGACCAAAAATGCTGCCATATTTGGTAGCTTCGAAAGAATTTGCATCATAACGCAATTCATGGTTGGATCTTAGAGTACTTATATATATATATTTTTTTTTAAGATACAAAGATACAAAGCATACAATCCATTAAAAACCTATCTATGCTTAACCCGTCAGAAGTTATAAAATCGACTAGAATAAACAAAAAATCCATGGGATGCCGCTTGAGAAAATGCTGTTGCCTGATTTCCCTAAGAGTGGGTTGCATGATCAGTGCTCTATTATTATTTTTCTTCGAACTTATTGCCGTTCCCCTGGGAAATGCAAGACCTTGCTGCGATAGTTTGGAAGGTGCCTTGTCGGTTGCATATAGAGTTTTGGAAATAGTGCATTTCGTAGGCTGTCTAATGCTATTCGTCGCCTCATTTGTGGTGAATTTTGCTCATTTGCCATTGAGTTTTATTCTGGCTAATTGAATCGTTTCAAACTGCATAGAAAACATCCGTTCTTGTGCTGATTTTCCTATTCACGAGCTGTTTACGCACTGTGCTGCATCCCGCATTTCTGGTAGCTGAAGTTTTAATTTGGGACGCAGACCTCATCGATATAAGCTTGTCGATCACTGGACTGTGTAAGTCAATCAAGTCTGCAAATATTACTGCACTTGAATACTCTTCATAGTTTTAGGTATTTATTTCTGGATTGTGGCGTACGCCTTTTATTTCAAGTGCAGGGAGGAGGTATTGATGGATTCGCCCAGAGTAACCATTTCGCGCAAAATAGATTCAATTATATTAGTTGCCTAGCTCACCTGAAAATTATTAAGTAAAGCGTGAATGGATTACATTGGACTTGAATTGGATTACACTAAAAGTCATTTTAGATGCAGCAATTATACACACAGACAAATACGTTTCATTTAATTCGATAGTCAAAAAAAACAAAGATTTAGCAAAAGGAATTTCTAGGTGACGTTGCAGTGAGCCTTACGATGGGCATTGGAGTCGGAAGCCAGAGGTGGACAAAGTTAACCGGTGGACGCCGCCGTGGTCGACGGTGGTGGTCCGCAGCGACCTCCAGGTGGAGGACCAGATGGTCGAGGGCCCGACGGAGGGGTTCCACTTGGCGGAGGACCGCATCCAGGTCCCTGGGGATGGGCCAGCTAAGTGGAGAGCAGTTGATTAGAAGTCAGCAATGCATCCAAGGGAATGATTTTACAAAAATTCCAACTCACCGCAAAAGAGCTGCAAAGTAGCACCAGTAGCAGGCCAATGAAATATTTCAGGTTCAGATGCATCTTGCCAAGTGTCCAGATGTAAACTGTTGGCCATTTGAGTTTCGCTTGCAGCTTTTATAGCGCGCCGCCCAAATCGACCGAGCGTGTCAAATTGTGATTACGATTTACCCGCTTTTCATTCGCAATTAATACAAATTGAGTTTTTAGACGTGGTGTGAAATTGAGCGAATTGTTGTATTTCATTTGCGACGCAACCAATTAAAGCTGCGGCAACGAAACAATCGGAAAAACAGACAAAAACCCGTATTAACCCATTATAGATCATTTTTTGCATGGGCACGATATTCGCACTCGTAACTCCGTTCCAGCGCTCTTCATTAAATGATTATAATTACCCGACAGCTGCGTTTACGTGGCGTATGAGTTATTTTTTATTTGGGCTCCTACTTCAGTGTAAGACAAGGCGGCGTATGCGTAATTTGCGTTTGGCTGGCCAAAAAGTTTCGGTGCCGCGAGCGAAAAGTCTAAGCCCGGTCTGGAATTGCACACCTTATTGCCTGCGTATTTGAAGCGCAGGGCCTGAAGCAATTAGCCATTGTTTCAGCTTTCGCGCAGCAAAATGTACACCCAAATTCGTGTTGCCAACTGGTCCGTGTTGCAGCTTTTATTGTTTATTTCAGTATTAGTGGTATGGTACAATGGTAGGTCCTTGATCAAGTCTTCTGCTCATTGTGCAGAGTGTCGAAAACAAAGAGGAAAGTCACTTCCCTATTCTGAATACGTATTTGCATGTCCACTCCCAACAACATCATCTCTGAAGCCCTCCATCCGATCCTTTCGTGAGCTTAATTGGCGCCGCCTGTTCAATGGTTTAGGTGTATCTCGGCTGGATTTATCCGTGGAGCTGGCTTGGCTTGATGGCTAAAAGGTGGTTCAGGTAGCGCGGCCCACATGGATGGCCAGCCGAAGGGCTGCCGCACTGCATTTTGGCTCGGATTGCATATTCATGTACGGAGCCGCCACTTTGGTGGCCTGCCATGTTCATGTTCCGTCTGAGGCTTAAGCTCAGTTAGCCGAGTTTGCCTGTTGGGCTTGTTGGCTTGTTGGCTTCTTGGTTGGCCGTAAAACTAAAATAATAGCCGCATAACATTTTATCTACCGCAGTAATAAATATTCAGTTAATTATAGTTACCAGCGTGGCGCGGGGAGAGCAGTCTTCTATGCAAATGTTTACAGTAATAAAACACCAAACTTGCTGGCTATCTAATACCGAAAAAGAGTTCCAGGGCAAAACCAAGTGAACGCAGCTGTGTATCTCACCACCTGGATTAGTCGAACTCGAACTGCATTCCAACGGTTCGGCTCATCGAGTTAGGTTTATAGATGCCACCACTATCACGAGCAGGATAATCAGAGCGATAACTACGTAGAAGCAAATGCACATCCTAAGTCCAGCTATGATATCCAGCTGAAAGTGAAACAAAAACGTGCTTAAAATTGTTTTCCGTTGCTTGAGTTGAAGTGCACAAAAGCCTACTCTTTCGATTAGGAAAGCAATGTTTTCGAGTTTCGTTCCTACTTGGGTTGTCAGCCTATTCTAGTGACCAATGTAACACCATCCATATCCACTGCGCTGCTCGACTACAAGACAGTTCTGCTGCTTGGAAGGACTTCTCTTTGGGGACATCGCCGCAAAGTGGCGCCGCCCACTGAACGATCGTTCCCAAATCGGCAACAACAAAGGAGCCAAAGGACTCTTCTCGCTTAGTCGACCCTTTTGGCCGTGGCATAACCGTTAAAATTTGTGTTCCTGCGGCACTTGCGAATGGGGGTGCCACCCACTTTGCAACACCACCCACTCACAGTGGCATTGTTGTGGCATTGTTGTTGCTGGGCTGTACTTGGTGGTTATAATAATTAAAATGGGCAAAATAATTTCAGCTGAAAGCATCGATGAAAGGCTAAAATGCTCAATAAATGGCACACTCCACCCAGTTTACCCAGTTTCATCCAATTGCCCACTTGCCATTGGCAGAACAGTAACTCACCGCTTGTTTGAGCACCTCCACCCACCATTCAATGCCCCCATTGGGGGCAATTAAAATACACAAAAAAGCGAGCTGAGAAAAAGTTGCCCAAAGTTTTCCCATCGATGACTTGCTGGCAGGAAGACAAAGGGGTTAAGATGGTGGTGCTGCCGCTGCCATGTGATATCGATGTGGGAAGGCGGTAGGTGGTGCCACCACAGTTGGCAATGCGTAAAAGTGTTAACCAAAAGCAGTTAAAATTACAAAAGGCAGAGTGCCATGGCAATGGCAGCCAGGCCACCGAAAATAGGTGGTGGGGAGGGGTGCTAATAAAAGGGGAATGGGAAATGGGAAATGGGAAAGGGGGATGAGAATGGGGGTTCTAAAAACACCATAAGGGTGTGGGTTTCTGATGGCGTACAATGTCGTTGGCTCTTTGAAAAATTAACACCTAATATCCGCAAAATCGCATCAAAGTATTGTTCAAGTTGCCTTTGTTACGAAAACTTTGCAATTTCTTAAAAGTGTCGCTCAACCATGGCACCCACTTCAGCCCACTTTTTGGAGCCCACCTCCCTTTTGACCCTGCAGCTGTTTTCTGTTTTTAGTTGTAGGCGTTATTAGCAACACTTAAGATGCCGGCAATTGGGAATTGTTGGATTGGGGGCCACGTTTTCCATAGCCTCGAAATTTGAGACAAAGGAGCGAGAAGTGGTTGGGGATTGCTTGGTTGGTTGGTTGGTTGGTGGAAAGTAATGTTGCCATATTTTAGCCTTTGTTTTGTGCTGTTGTCGTGTAAATTGACACCACAGCAATCAGTTAATAAGGCGATCTGGTGGAAAAGTGGGCAAGAAAATTGATGGCCCTCCAAGGATGATCTCCTTTCCTCCCCCTCCCTTCTCGGCAACCCTTTTGCAAATCAAACAGTTTTTTCACTTGATAATTTATTTAGGGGTCCGTGTTTCCTCATTATTTTCTTCAAGGTAATTTACACATGGCCACATATGAATAAAATCATGGGGTAGGTACATATAACACTGAACGGGTTCCCTGGATATTAAGCACACATGAAAACATGAAACCGGTTTATCTTTATTGTTTCATATATACACTTTAAGTTTCTCAGAAATTGATTTTTGTAGTAGCATTATAAAATGTTATACTATTTATTATTTATCTCGTGAAAGCTCTTAGCGCATCTACACAGCCCTATATACCCTATTGCATTCAGGAAGCCACATTTTCAATGGCTTCCCATTTTCTGGGCGGAAAAGTAATGAAACCTGTTCGACAACCATATCTTGTGTGAGCCCATAGATATATATGCTATATATGCTCTATAAAGCGCTTATGCGTCCAAGTGTGTGCTGTATGTGAAGCACACACATGCAGATGCGGATGAATGAGTGTGTGTGTGTGTTTTTATACATATTTTTAATTATTTTCATTTCATGTCTTTTAATTAACATGCCTAATAAAACACATGCCCAAAAAAGCGAACCAATGGATGGCGCGGGGTGTTTCGGTGGGGTGGCTGCCTGCCAAAGCATAAAAAGATATTGTCAGTCAGTCAGTCAGTCAGTCAGTCAGTTAGGCAGTTAGGCAGTTAGGCAGTTAGTCAGATGTATGCAAATACCATCCCTAACATACGAGGCGAGAGGAAAACTTGGAAGGCCTTTGAATCGCTTTGCCTGACTGCCTACTACTACTGCCTACTGCCTAAAAATCCCCAAATATAAATAATTAAAAAGAAAATGTTGCTGCCAAATCAAGCGAGCATAATTACGAGGCTGCATACATTCAAACACAGTACAGAGTACACAGTACACAGTTCACAGTACACAGTTCGCAGTACACTTTCCACCCCCGTGGGTGGAAAACTCTTTTGCGGTTTCTGGTTTTTTGTTTGTTTCCAAATGCATAATGTTGATTATAGCAATAATTTTATGAATTTATGTAAACATTCCACGCCGGAGCAGAATGATGGCGCAGCCAAGGTGGGCATTACGATAAGAACCTGTCTCAGTCCTTGTGGGCCACGTTTCACACCCCTTCCGCCCCTTCGTTGGACTGGAGCGGGGTTTTTTAGCCAACTCAAGATACACGGGGACTCTAGTCACGGGATCTTATTAGTAACTCCTCTTCTGAGACTGACTAGGGCAGACTATCGAGAAAAGTTGAATCTTCCACAGGTAATGTGAAAAGAGAATACTTTGCTCAGTAATTTTGTAATGTATTTAATTAGTAATCAACTTTGCGCTGAAATATACTGTGCAATTTCGATTTCGGCTACCGTTTTTGTACCAGAATTCATTTTGTTCCAAATGTGCCATCCTTTTTGGGAACTCTGTGCCATATTAATCCCCTCCCCTTGCGCTTGGCTCATTTAATTTACCGTTCAATTCCACATTCGCTTCGGTATTGAATTTTTAATCACGCACACGCCTGACCCCAAAGCTCACGGGCAGGACAATCGCACGGACTTGGACTCGAAAACAGGACCAAAACCTCCAATTCAATATGCAAGCCAAGCGGCCGAGTCTCAAAAACTATGCACCAAACTACCAAATATTCAGCCATAAAGCTGCACTGCAAATAAAGCCTCGTATGTAAGCTCGTATAAAAAATAAGTACAAGCGTTTTTACATTCGCACTTTAGTACGATTTCGGTACTACTTAAGCGCTTAAGAGAATCCAGGATATAGCATTTTAGACATATTAAATACTCATCGATCAATTCAATATATGTTTTCAGTGCACACTCATTCCCGCACAGGTCAACTCGATTTGGTCAGCGTCCTTTTAAGTCCCCCACCAGCCCACCAGCCCACCAGCCCACCGATAAGTTCTGAAGCCCTCCGTGTCCAATGCTTTAAGTGTAGCTCATTAAATAATATCCTTTTTGGCGACGAACGAGTGTGTGTGTGTGAGTGTCCTGGATGAGGCTGTTACTTTTTTATTTCCTTGCCTGGTTGGCTGGTTGGCTGGTCAGTGGGTGCTTTTCGGGTGCTTTTCTGGTGGCTTGGGGCGGTGGCTTGGGGATGCCCAGGCGACTGTCCA